CACTGGGCAAGTGTTCGTCGTTATGGACTAAACAAAATATGTCAAATTTAGTTGCAGAAAAAATTCATGATACACTTGAGGTTTATTTAAAAACGCCAAACAAAACATGATGGAACTGTACCTATGATAGCTTATTACAAATACAAAATATTTTGATAGGCTCTAATGGACGTAACAAAATGAACGATATTATGGATTTTTGTGAAATACAAAGATTTACAAATCAATAAATACAATTTATTCAAGAATATTTTGAAGTTATGACTCCTCTCGCTGAATCTCTGGACTTCTTACAAGGAGAAGAATCAATGTTCATGGGTTACTTATTACCTACACTTTATGCTTTAGATAAGAAATTAATTATATTACAACAAAAAACTATGAAATTTTGTGGTCCATTTATTAAGACAGTAAGAACTTCAATTCAAACAAGATTTAGTTCCATATGGGAAAAAAAAGAACTTATATTAGCATCATGTTTGTTACCACGCTTTAAATTATTATGGCTTGATGGTGACAAACGTTTCATAGCTAAGTCCTGGTTAAGATCTCACTTTGAAAATTTGGATTATACTGCTAATTCTGAAGCCAATGAAACTGAATCTCCATCATGTACAGCAGAAACAGATACATTTAAAGAAGATTTTTTCTGTTTACCAGTAGATAACAATTAAAAAACAAGTTCTAGCATTGAAGAGTTAGAGTTATATTTAAAGAGCCAATCAAAAGAGTTATCTGTGTTGTTATTATACCCAACAGTACTAACAGCATTTTTAAAATTTAACACATCTCTTCCATCTAGTGCTCCTGTCGAGCGACTGTTTTCAACAGGTTCTAATGTGATGACTCAAAAAAGGCACAAATTGGACTCACTATTTGAAAAGTTAGTGCTATTAAAACAAAACAAAGTGTAAATAGATATTAGATTTATATAATATAAAATATAATATGTATTTGATTTATAAGATGTTTTTTTTTCTTAAATATTTAATGTTAATTTAATTTAAATTTTTTTTATTAATATTAAATGATATCTCATTTAAAGGTATATTATCTATATTATTTATTTTATAAATTATCATGTTATACTTAAAAGTTGAATGTACTTACAGAAAAATCAAATAAAGTGAAGCCAAAAGACAAATTAAATCTATTATTAATTATTATACATTTTTAAATCTTTATTTATTAATTTAATTGTTTAGTATTCAATTCCTATTTCATTTTATTTTTTAAGTTTTAACACATTTATCGTTGTTTACCTAGTGTTCTTAATGAAAAAAAGTATTATTCTAAAACCACTAGATCATCTAGGTAAGTTAAAAATGGAACGATAATTGGAACGAGTTCTTCTTATGGAGGAACTGAATTTGGAACGAGTTCCTTCTTTGAAGAAGGAACGAGTATCTGGAATGAATTCATATATTAGTAACTGGACGGAGAACGGAACGAGATCCTTTTAATAAAGAACTTTCCCAACACTGGGTCTGACTGATGGTATGTTTACGCCATGTTCTTCACAAATGTGCTAACTTTGATCTTAAATATCATAAAACAAACTATCGGAACGCATACCTATTTTCTATTGCCAAACGAAGACACTTAATCTCCTCCAAAGCTGTCAAAATACTTAATCCGGGATCTTGAAGTACTCTACTAACTTTTACAATCAACTGTAGAATAGGATGCATCAGTTCGAGACAGATAATAAAATTAAAATTTAAGCATTGGGAAATAATACCCTTTCCTTTAGTTTTTATTTCTGGTTGCTTAATTGAATAATTTATTTCATTAACTGTTTGAATTATAACCGAGAAGTTGTCTCGAATTGTTGTTACAGCTTTTGCCCTACACGCCCATGTAGTTGTCGAAAGGGATTTTAAGGTCTTTAATTTTACACCAACACTTTTTTGAATTTTTTTAAAACCGCGTGTCTAGTTGGACTGCTTTTAATAAAATTGTATATTATTTGAACTGTTCCAAAAAAATCAAAAATCATACTATTCTTTTTACGGGAAATACAAGAATCTACAAGTACAAGGTTTAAGCAATGAGCAAAACAGTGTACGTATAATATTTTAGAGTTTTTTTTCTTTACATCGAGACTGAACTCCAGAAATATGACCTGCCATTGCGGCTGCGCCGTCGAAACAAACGGAAGAAACAGATAGCCAATCGAGTTTTAACTTGTGGACTATTGTATTTAAAACATTAAAACTTAAAAATTAAAGGTGCTTTTTTAAAATCAGAATTGAGAAATTTGTATTCAATAAAATTATTACATAAAAATCCGCGCCCTAGTTATAACATTATTGTTGAATACCATATATGAATTGTATAAATTATTAATTAATAATTAGATACATATATATTATATATTTATATAATATTAATATTAAATCTGTTTAACTGGTTAACTTAACTTAACCTAACCCATCTGTACTTCATAATACTTGGTTACATAGGTCCTATATTCTATAATATTTGCTTGCATACCCACTAATATACACCAAGTTGTGGCACTGCGAATTTCCATTTATTATATTGAAGACAGAAGTACATTTGGTTTAAAAACTAATAACTAGATAATAAATACCTAGATCTTAAAACTTACATGAAGTAATGCTTTAGTACACAATTAATTAAATTTAATACTTAAAAATAAATATAAAATTGGTAATTTACTTGTCCATTTTGCTAACCAAGCATTTGTATTTTGTATCCTCATTCCTCAGTCCGCTCACCAGTTGGTATGGTCGTCAAATAAGTAAATTAACTAATAAGTAATAACTGTATAAAGTCTTTATAATGTCTATATTTGGATTATTCGATAAACGATTGACGATTAGGAAATTTAAACACAATAATAATAAAAAAGATAAAACCCGTACGGAACGCTTGAACAATGAAAATAATATAGCGAGACTCGCAAAATGGCATTTTCTAAAAATAAATATCAATAATTTAAAAACTTTTGATAATGATTTGATTTTGATGGCCAGTTGTAATATTACTAAATATATTTTAAACATTTAAACTATTCTATTTAGTATTTAGTATTTATTACGTACAGTTAATTTCTCAAATTTTTTTTGCATTTATACCTAATTTTTTTATTACATTAATTAAAATAATATATTCTTAGCAAATGTATATATTAATACGGAGCCAATTAGCCTAGGCCGTAGTTCCGCCTATGGCCATAGATAAAATATATTTAGAGTATAAAATCTATTATACGATTTATTTTTCTTACAATTTATAAATCGTTCTATACGTATGACGTATGTCTTATCTTCATTTATTATCGATCAATTCATCGTCGCTAGTTGCAAGTCAAAGTAAAATTAAAATATTGTAAATTATCAATAAAAAAATAACTTAATAAAAATATGTAAGTTATTTTTTTAAGGGAATTTTTAGCTTTTTTTAGAGCATTTTTTAAAAATTTTTAGAGCCATAAAAATCCGGGCCCTAGTAATGAGTTATCAATGTATTATAAAGGATGGTTGGTGGCAAAGCCCCCATAGGTCTCTGCCTTGAAGTATTTTTTAATATCTCTCCCTCCCCATAAGATACTCTGAATTACGCAACTGGCCTCCACCACCAATATTTGATATAAACAACAAGCTGTGGGAACCGTGTAGGTACTTGGTTACTTGTACAAATGCTCAATTATTGGTGTATTTGGCAAGTAGGTACACCAGTCGTGGAATCAGTGTACCAGGCTACTTGTACAAATGCTCTATTATTGACGTACTCGGAAAGTACACCTGTCGTGGGAATGCGGCTTTAGAAGATCTCTCTTTCGAAAACTTTCTCGTTTTATAACTTTTGGCCGAGAAATAGAATACCGATAGATCTAAGGTAGTTTAATTGTAGGTGGTGGAAGAGGAAGAGATAGTTAGGGACTCAATCTCTTCCTGAATTTTTTCATGGTTAAAAAAATTTAATTTAAAAAGCTTAATTAAGAGTATGTTGCCCCGCATGTGTTGTCTTCGTATTACACACGTACGTCGTACGATAACGGTAAGATATCGAAAAAACCAACGAGAGAACACAGACAATTTTTATTTAAAAGTTTGATAATAGGTCAGTTTACTCTTTATATCAAAACTAAAAGCACACTATTAAAACTAGTGAACGAAAATTTACTGTTGTACGTGTGTAAGACGGAGATATTACATCCGGGTGCAACTTATTCTCTTAAGGTTGTCAGATTTCAAATTTCAAAAATATAGGACAAAAAAAATTGTGTATCATCATCTAATATCTAGTCTAAAGAATTTTAATGTACTTATATTAATGACATTACTTACATTAATGGTACCTAGATACTTATCTACTTTATTGAGTAATATTTTTATTATTTTATGGTATTTTGGTTTTTATAGAGAGATGTTATTAAATTTAGAGTAAAATAAGTTGATTTAACATGGTATAAATATATATTATTTTAATGATTAAATTCTAATAATATACCTAATAAATGTAATATTTTAAGAAAAAAATATATCAAATTACCACAATAGGTATTACATTTTAAGTAAATTAGTTTATTTATATCAAAAGATATATATTATTATTATGAAATATGCTTATTAATATAAGCTGTCAGATTGTCTACACACTCGGAATTATTTTTTTTTAATACAATGATATATCATTTAATTAAAATTTAACACTCTTATATCAATGATCCACTCAACACCTAATGGCTGATGATGTAGCATAGTGATACCCACTTGCTTACTTTTTTAAAAATACAATTGAAATAAAATAACAAAATATATCTTAGTATAATTTTTATTATTAAAAGTTTATTATATTTTTCAATTTGTTGTATTAACTTTCAATTTTGTTTTAAATTTACAAACCATTATAGAAAATAAGCAATAAATAGATACAAAATTAAATTATTAATCAATGGTTTTTTTATCAAAAAAAAAAAAAAAAAAAAAATGTACAGTAAAAAATGTTCTTCTAAATTATTTACAAAAATTTATCATATGACAAGTAGACATTAAATGTTAATATTCATAAAAACATAGAAAGTAATAAAGCTACAGTTCATCAATACTTTAGTACTGATAAAGTATAATTGTAAAAAAAGTTACAAAATATTATATCAATAAATTTAAATTGCTTTAAATATTAGATACATTATAATGATCTTATTATATACAATTAAGTAGGTAGTTGTTATTTGCTATGGAGTTTCAATAATTTAAAAAAATGTGTTAAGTCAAATTGAATTGTTTTGTAAAATAGAAACTTCATAGATGTTTGTGGCATTAAATGGTATGTACTTGTCTGAAAAATAATGTTGAGTCTTGGATATAATCAACAAACTTCTTGAGAGTCTAAAAACAATAAAATATATAATTATATAAATTAATATTATTTTGTAAAAATAATAGTACTTAATTTATTACAGAGTTACAACATATTGAAAAAAACAGTAAAAGTTATAACCAACAGATTAATATTAATTATTTTGGATAAAAATTAACTTTATAAAAAATTAAGAGATTTAACTTTGTAGGTTTTAAAAATAAAGATAGTACTATACTATCATTTATAATGTTAGTATAAAACTATATATTATATTAACATCATTACATCAAATAAAGTAATTATAAATGTGCATTTTAAGTCTTAACTGTGTGTAACTCTGAAATATATCATAGTTTGAATACATATAAATTATGTGGGTTGAAATTAAAAATGACTTATACAAAAATAAATAGTTTGCATAATAATAACAACACAAAGCAAAAATTATAAATTTTAATGATAAAAATGAACTTAGTTCAAATAAAAAAAAAACTACTTAATGAATTATTTTTTACTAAATGCAGAATTTTAAATCAATTATAATAATTTGTCAAAATGGTAACTATAAATCATACATTATTTATTTCAGAAAAACATAATATTTTAATGAAGCTATAAATATATATATATATATGATAAATTGAATGATGTACCAAAGGTACCTATTTTATCGTATTTAATATTTTATTTTAACATTTTCATCCTATTAAAATTATATAATATACACATTACGCAATTATAAACAAGAAAATACAGATAAGAAATTAATTAGTTCATTGACTCATTACAAATATTTATTATCATAATTTATAAATGTGCAAAACTATACTTATAGAATTAATTTTCCACTATAACTTAAATCATTATACAATATGAATTCTCCCCCTCCCACTCTACCAATGAACAATATGAAATTTGTTTTTCTATGAAATTATTAACTGTAATTATGTAATATCCCAGAAAGATCATGTCTACAAGTACTAAATAGTATAATATAAACATTTACAATAAAAAATAAAATAAAAATATTCTTTAAGAAATAATAGACAAAACAAATTTTAAATTTAATAAAAAATAAATTGATATACAAATACTAAAAACACAAAAATCAGCATTGAAATATTTAAAATAAAACAATGATATTAATGTTGTAGGTATTTAACTAACACAAATATGAATTATGTTTTATCAAAATACTACAATTAAATTTTGCCATGCTATTTTGTTTTATTATAATCTACTCATAATTTATCAATTGGCATTCATTATAATTTAAAATAATCAATCATGTTTAATATCATGCAGTTAATTTAATTTAAGATGGTAATGAATGATAATAATGATTGATGGTATGAAATAAATATTATACAGGTATTATGATGATATAGTTGTATGATTTTTTAATGTTAATTGCTGTTAATATGCTTTGAATTAGTTATCCAAGTAATAAAGAAATGTTTGTGATGGAGAAAATCAAGATCAAATCAATAGCGTTTCATTCATGAGGCCCATAATTCATATTCTTCGCATGTGTAACTTACTTGCTATAATAGGGTTCCAAAATTTTGCATTAATTCATCATCACAGAGTATATAATGAATATAATATTTACCATAATAGTTAAAATGGACGTATTATTGCTTATTTGTTTGAGTAGAGATAAAATAAGAAAGAAAACATTTTTTTTTTTTGTTTTTTTGTATCAGTCTAAAATTCAGTATATTTTAGTAAACAATCATTACAGTAGTAATAATAATTTACTACATGAGATTTAGTAGTTTGATATAATAATAGGTATGCAATATTAATTATTAAAATATGATACTGTTTAATATAACAAATTCCTAGAGCCTTACAAATATTGATTTGATATATTTTTAATTACACGTTGAAAATTATAATTTATCAATTGTATCAATTACAATGACTACTAAAATGAAATTCCTGGATATTATATCAATGATTAACATATGATATATAATGTATTTTAGAAAATTATTAAACTTAATAGTTTTTAATACATTTAAAGATAACATTATTATTTTAAATTTACATTAAAATGAAAGACAGAGAAATAACTAAAAAAAAAAATATCCAGTTATTGATGTACTTTAAGTAGTTTGGAGCTTGTATTTCACTCATATGTAAAGTTATCCAAGTGCAATATTACTTACATTTAAAAATTAAATCTTGTATAAATAATATTATAGTAATATAATTTCATAAAATATTGAAGAAGCTTAAACCTAACCTTAGGAAGCTAAGCACTATCCTTGACTTTCTTATGTAGTATTATTTCTCAAGTATTATTATAGCCATGATTTGATTTTTTGACAATAGTGCATAATATACATAATATATTATTTTTTCTTTAAAGTTTTTTATTATTAGGTATAGTATTATGTTAGTATTACTATGGTAATTATTCTACTTAACTTTATAAAAAAATTTATAAAATAGGTTTATCTAACAGAAAATAATATTTAGTGATAGTTTTTAATAATATTTATAGTTACATAAATTATTTTAACATAGATATGTTTTTGGAATGGGATGGATATACAATATTCTCAACTCAATTGATTTCTCTTAACATTATTAATTGATATCTGTTACTAAAGCAAGTGAATACTCATCATTCTTGGTGGTGATAAAAACATTGATTTAAAATCTATTCGTGGCAAATAATTTATATGGTATATGATTTATACTCAAAAACATATTTATAATTCCTCACTTTCCTTACTCAGAAAAAATATCTAGTAGCATGGCTACTACTACTTTTTCCTTGAGAAGATTAATCAATTATACTATCCAAAGATACTTAACTTATTTTCTTTACATGTTTATGTTTTATAATAAATTTTAAATTGATAAAAAATATAAAGTTAAGCAAAAGAGATTTGGACAAATATTATGCTTGAGTATATAATATAATATTATATATTATATAATATTTTGATTTAAAAAATTATTAAATGATGAATTATTTTTTTTATATTCTTTGAATATGTGTTAATATTTTAATTTAACTTCTAAATATATTTTATGTAATATATTTTAATTTTATTAATAACATATCAACAAAACAATGAAACATTTGAAACACAAAATTAATAATATAACTTAAAACTATTATAGGTACTATGCCTACTTAATTTAAATTCTAATAAAACAATAATCTTAAATAACAATAAAATATAGAATAATATCTCCTAATATAAAAATGTACAATAAATAGATAATATTTAACTAAGTGGTTTATCAATAGTAGTAAGTAAATTAAATCTTATGGTTATTATTAAATATTATTTAAAGTATATATGTATTTATCATATAGTAATAAATAAAAATAAAAAATATTTTTTGACTTTTTCATAAAATTTAAGTAACTACTTACATACTTTTGTTCTATTAATTTTACAATTTGATAATAAGTATAATAGGTACTTTAGCTATATAAAAAACATGATTCTAACGTGTGTAATTTGGATTAATATTTTTTGATAGTAGTAATGTATGTTCAGTGGTAGGATTAATAGTTGAATGCTTACCTTCTTTATTATAAGACTCAGGTATTGGGTCAAGAAGTTTTGGTTCATTTGGATCCTTATCGTCTATGTCAATTTCCATAGCTCTTTTCCTTACACACCGTGTAGTAGTCAATAATATTCCAAAAATCATGGGCGGAAGTCCAGCAATTAAAAATGCACCAGTATAAGATTTATAATTATCATACATCCAACCTGCATATAAACAAGTAAAGTAGTGTATAATAATTGTTAATAAAATTTTCAAGTTGGTTTAATTTTTGGTAAAAAGATTTCAAATTTCATAAATTATTTACCCGCAATTGGTGGGCCAACTGTTAATGGAATAGAACATAGACCAAGAATGCATCCGATGGCTTGGGCAGCACCTTTTTGACCAACTAAATCAAAAGCAATTGGACCCATAACACTAACAAAACATCCATCAGCAAGCCCCATTATTAATGTAATAGTAATTAGTATGGAAAAGTATGGTACTATAATGATAAACATAGTCATCAAGCCAATAACAAACAGTGATATCTAAAAATATGAAATAAAAAAAAAAAAAATGTAAGAAATCAAAAATTCAATTATATTAGTTTTAAATTATGCTTTAGAAAGCAATCTGTTGTTAATTTATCTATGCACTAAGTTTAACTTCTGCAGATAAATTATAGTATGTTATTGTATATTATAAATAATACAGTTGCCTTAGAAAAAAAAAAGATAACATTAATTTGGTCTGTTGCTGACTTAAATTATTATTTTTTACTAATCACATAATTAACTTTTAAAAACAAAACTTTAAAATATCTTTAAGATAATCAAAAACTCCCTTTGAATTAATTTATAATAACATACATTTTGGTCAAGTGAAGCCTTTTAATATAAAAGACCTATACAAGTCTTCTAGTAATATATATTTAATAAAATATAATTTGATCTCCTTATTTATCAATGTTATAATCAATAAGGCACTGCATAAAGGCTTAAAAATATAAATACTAATGATTAACAAACTAACCATCAGACACTACAAAAAATTCCATTTCAAACTCCAATTAAAATCTACCAAGAACATTTAAATGAAACTAGTCACAAGATGTTCTCAATTTCTAATGCATAATGTAAATACATATATAAAACCATACATTAAAAAGAAGTCTGTTGTTATTACTTTTACTTTTTGCATATATATCGTAATTTAAGTTTTTTAAACAAAAAAAATCCTTGTTTACATTCTAAATTAAACAAATAAATTTGGAAATGGTTCTTTAAATTAAATATCTGTATTATTTTCATTATAGAATTAGATTAACTGACAAGAAATAATATTTTTAGCATAAATTTTATTGTATTTTATACTACTTTTGGTATTAAGAGGATAGGGAAGGGATTATAAATGAAAAGTTTTTAAAAACGACAAACTTAATAATATTTCAAAATGTAGAAGCTGTCCTATATTAATTGTCTTATCTCAACTGTTATTGAATATAAAAACTAGTTTGAAATTTTTACTAAAAAATTACATTTGACGAATAATACAAGTATTATTAAATAATTTTAATCTATAGTGTGGGAAAAAAATATCAACCACAAATACAAGTTATTAAACAAAATTATCACATAAAATAGATTTTACACAAATACTTATAATATACTAGTGTTTAAAAATTTAATTAATAACATTTTTATTATTTTTTTTTCTTTTAAGTAGGTAAAAAAATATAAAATACATGAAATTGTTCACACATTATAATAATTTACTATTTTATCAGTAAAACTATGGTTCATTTAAATGAATAATTAAATTACCTGTTGCATTACGATTCTATTAACTCCTTTATAATCAGATATCGGTCCAGAAATTAATCTACCAATTCCCGAGGAAATGCCTATACACGTGACTAATATTTTACCATCGTTTTTTGGAAAACGGTCATCAACAAATTTCACCTGTATGAAGACAGTATTGATTTAAAAATTTTAAATAAACTTTGCTAAATTAGAATCAACTAAAAAATTTTTAATTTTTACCAAATGGACGTAAGGGACAAAGTATCCAAAAAGAGCGAGAGGAATCATTGTGGCCCAAATAACGTATTTTGGGTTCTTCCAAATATCAATATTGACCAATGTTCGTAGTTCTTCAGCCAGAGATTTATGCATATCCGATTTGTCAACTTTGTATGTAGGTTTGAACGCCATAGAGCATACCATTAATATAGCTGACAACGCTGCTTCCCATCTGTAATAGATTATCGTACAAATAAATGTGTAGATAAATGACAAAACGATGAAATACATGAACAAAATACAAACAAATAATAAGGAGTATCTACCTGAATTAGGTATAAAATTAAATTATTGCATATTTTATAATATACTTGTACAGTTGTACCTATGTAATAGTCACTAGCAGGAGCGGAGTGGCCCACCAGGATATCGGGAAAAATCCCGGTGGCCTGAAAGCTAAATGGCCCGTTGGCCTGAAGTATAGATAGAAAAAAAATCATGAACATAGTGTAGAGTAATGCGAGGAGTTTATTTATCCATACACGAAAACGAAATCACATTAACAGTTTAATTAATAATAATTTTTATATAATTTTTGATATTTTGAATTCTGATAAGCGATGGCTGTTCGATATGAATTTGCCGTAGCTCGTACATAATATATACGAGATACCTACGTTAGTATAGTACACACCATCTATTTTTATAACTTTCGCCGAAGTTCTGCAACACAATAATACCTAATCGCCTCGCGACTATCGAGTCAAATATTATATTTTCCCATATTTTGTCATCTGAGTAAATAACAGAATACTGTATGATGTACTAATGGAGTTTCTTTATACTGCATTTATATTTCATACGTTTTAAAAAGTTAAAAAAAATTGCATTTTGTTTATTAATAGATTGGTACTAAGCTTCAAAAGCAGTGAATATAAAAAAAATGTATAAAGACAAGTATACATAGGCTGTTCGTACCTAAATAATATAGATATTCGTTTTGGTAAGTCACATACTATACGAATACCATATTTTAAATTACACATAGCAATCATAATACAGAACAATAAATCGTTAATCTAACTTCTATAAAATATATCTACATGAAAATATATATATATAGTACTTTACTTTGTATAGATGATACACAATAACAAAATAAATTAAATTTTACTATAAACAAGCAATATCTTCAAACATGGTACGTATGCAATAATCTATACTATGCAGGTAAGTATCTACAGGGGCACACGGCTGACGGGCTAAGCAATAATAACTAATGAGTACGAAATAACTGATAAGATAAAGGTAAAACTTAATCGGCTTATCATTAGATACATCATTAATGTTTTGATTATTGGTTTACAAGTATCTGAAGTTTATATTTTATAAATATTATAAAGTGACATTTTTTTTGGATATGTATTAATCTTTACTATAATCTAAAAAGTAATAAATATAAAGCTATTATGATTACATTACAAAATCGATTCAATTGGTGAATTATTTATTAATGTTCTGTTGTGTAGTGTATGATTTCTAATTTTATTTAAATTTTTTATTAGATATACTTTAACTAAATAAATAATATGGATATTTTTGAAAGCATTTATCTAAAGAAAACTATCTTTTTATGGATACATCTACCTAAAAAGTATTTTATATAGATATTAATTATAATGTGATAAAATATTAAAGGTTACATTAAAAAGGTATTAAAAAAATAAATATTTTATATGCAAAACGATTGATTTTGTTTTTTCGAGTAATTTTTACAATAGGTCATATTTTATATATATAGAAAAATAAATATATTATATAATTCAAAAAGATAATATTCAATTATGTATGGGTATATTATGTAATTACTAATTACACAAGGAGGAAGGAGTAATACACTATTTTCAAAGTATAATGTAGTTCTTATGAAATTAATAAGAAAAATAAAATGCGAAGAAGACGTTCTATTAGTATACTAATATAATAATACGAGTGATATGGTTCATAGAATCAAAGTTTAATAATTTATTAAATTTCTATAAAATATTAAGCATAATTTTAACGGCATATTTTCGATAAGATGAAATACTTTGGAAGATTAAACATAAAAGATAACGGATCACTAATGACTATTCTAGATAAATTATTTGCGAATGATGTAAGTTATTGAATACACTTAATTATTGAAAGTGAACTTGATTATCAATAGCTTATAAGCTATTTTATTATTAATAATAATATAAAAAAAGTTACATCATACAATTCAGTTCAATTGACCGCTAAACATGCGATTCTGTAGTAGTCCAATTTAAAATTGAAATAGAAATGGTTACAGATTATTCAGAAAACAATTATAGTATAAATGTAATGTATAATATTATTTTTCGCTTTTTAAATTTTTATCAAATGTATTTATTTATAAGCAAACATCTTAATATTACCTGTTATATTAAAATATTAATAGCAATTCAAAATATATTTTTGTAATCACGAGTACCTACAATTTTTTTTTAGATAATGTATAACAATATGAAACGAATTTATTATATTATAGTAAGTTTTGAAACACAAATGATTTGTTAAATAGTTAAATTATATTCATAATTATGATAGTTATGTAAAAATGTAATTAAAAAAATATGGTATTGGTTTAAAATTGAAAATATAAAAAGAGTGAATCTTTTAAAAGTAAACACTCGTTATTTCAAAAATTATTAACCGTTTTGAACATTATTCTAGTTTTACTACATCATATTATTTTCTTAGAATTTTGTTACATACGAATTGAATTTTGAATGAGTATAGTTAATTAGTAAGTTATAACTTAAAAGCATTTAAACTTTAGATGATGAGTAAAATTGGGTGAACACCGTAAAATAATGGTCTATTAGATTACTCATCTAAATTTTAAATACTTTTTAACTGATACCTAAATTATTTTTTCATCATTCCATTTGTACTATAACTATACAATTTTAAAATATCCACATATTTTGGCCTACTCTTAGGTTTTTGTATAATAATATATTTCTTCTTCTTTAAATTACTACTCAATATAAGTTTTAAAATAAAATCAATTTTGGAATTTTTGAAATATAAATACATAATATATATGATATGTGACATAATATTAATAATATATTCAATATTGAGCAATAGGTTCTATGTTATTTATAATACACGAGTACTTATGTAGTTATTATATAAGTGCTAATGTTTTTAAAAGTTAAACCAATAGTTTCATTTAGCTAACATAAATAAAATAAAATAAATGAAAACATAAAATTTATATAAATTATCAAATTTGAAAAGTACTGATTGAGTAAAATATAGTAAATGGGCACTTTTAATTGACTAAAAAGGGCTTTTCAAAAAAACTTGTCAAGTTCAACATTTCCGGGGTGTTAGGTATCTCTCTCTTGTATACAAATGACTATTAGCCTGTATACTAGCGTATACTGTAAGTAGGTATATATTGTTAATATTGGCAGATAAATATAAGTATTAATCAAGGCTTTGCATTAGTTATGACGCAAAATTTGAAAGAGCCACAACTTGAATTTTATTCTAGTTTTAACATGTATTGTTAAAAGAATTTATAGTTTATAATTGGCAAAACTGTGTTCATTAGTTTATTAGTGATATGTAAAAGTAAAATTTATGTATATACTAGGATTAGATTTAGCACTTTAAACTCAATAATATTAATAGATGTCACTTTTAATTCTGCGGATGCGCGGACCACTTAAATAAAATTTATGTTATGGTTTTTTTTTTTTTAAGAAGATAGTACTAATCTATGCAGAGCTGATCTACATTAAGTATATTATAATGGGAAGTATTGATGATTGTATAACAGTGTTCGAACGACAATCGTTGTTAATTCATAAATAACATTTTAGACACCTACAAATAAAAATGTGTTGCTTTGAATCTCGTATTTAAAACCAAAAATAAACTAGAAATTGCAATCAACCAATTATAAATTTTCAAATTTTCGTATAGCAACTAGCAATTCTAGTTTGGTAATGTTAATTTTAATACTAGAACAATTCGTTCTACAATCAAACTCAAAGTTAAAAACATTATATATATTTTTTTTTTTTTTTTTAGTATTTAATTTTTAATGCAAAATATAGGTATTTTTAATATTGTGATACATCACTTACTTATAAAACATTTTTAAAATTAAAATATCGAAAAAAATAAATACCTAATGTTACATATAGTGAAATTAATAATATGTAAGTGTTATGCGTTCGAATCGCCTAGTGTGTAATGCACTTTAAGTTTGATAATAGATTAATTTATTCTAGTATTAAAATTAACAACACAAAATTGGAAGTGGGTACTGAATGGAAATTTTCCATATTGTATGTTTATAAGACAGAAAAGTATCATATAAGTGTGACGCCTTATTGAAATCATACAGATGAAAATATCTTATTGATAATAATCTTATACTCTAGAGGAGCACCTAGATAATATTAAATAATATAACATGTATTTGTTAATTTTAATAAATTATTATCTAGGCCCTATTAGATAAAATACTATTTGATCAAGTTTAATATAATAGGATAAAAATATAATAATTTTTCTATACTTGAAACTGAATGGACTATACTTAAATTTGAAGTTTAAAAATTATTCTGGGGTTTTTGTAAGCAATGATAACAAAATATTAATAAAATTGCAGTTTTAGATAAAACTACGTTTTTAAAGCATAAAATATTTAAATTTTTAATAGTACATTTTAATTTAATTTATACATATAATATATGTGTATTTATAAGTGTATAAGATAACCTAAGTACAATAAGATACTATTTTATTTAAAACTAACCTTAAACAGTTATCTAGACCATATTTAACAAGTAGATGATCAACGATGTATGGCATGAGCATGGTGAAACATGAGCTGCCAGCAGTTACTATACCATTTACAAGACCAAGGTATTTTTTGAAGTAATGACCAAGAATAGCTAATGAAGGTGTATAAGCTAATGATGCGCCAATACCATATAAAAGGCCGTAAGTTACGTATAATACTTCTACCTAAAATAGAATAATAAGATAAATAAAATATATAAGTATATATTAAGTTATTAAAGTTTTAATAATAATAATACACACAAATTACTAATTAGTAAAAAGAAAATACAAATTTTATATATTCAATTTAAAATAAATTAGAACTTGCTTTTAGTAAGAAAAAGATAGTGTGATAAATTATATAGGAACATAATATTCAGAAAATTAAATCTAAGGAAAATAACGTAATGACGGGATTTTATTTTCAGGGATTACCAAATGGTAACTTATGTATGAAATATATATATTGTTGTATATGATTATATAATCATAATTCGTATTCTTTAATTTAGGACTTAAAATAATTAAGTTAATAACTATAAAATATGTATTAAAAGTAAAATTTATTATGATATTTAAAATACATTATTTCATGTTATTAAAATGGTATTCTTATTAATACTAGTATAATACGTTTCCAATAGCAAAATGAAATAACATTTTATAACTAAGAGAATGTATCGTACTCGCATGTGTTATCTTCGTCCAACTAACGCATACCATACACCAAAATATACGTCCAGTAGTTCTAATTTAGTGTATTAAGCTTAAATATTAGACGAATATTAGTATTTTTTCTTCGTTTTTTTTTACTATCCTTTAATTTTTAAGTAAATTAAAAACATCTTGAAATATTAATATTTAACATACTTATAACTCGGTTAAAAATTAAAGCACTGTAAAACTGATAGAACAGTGTTCTACAGTATCAATGTTCACTGATAATTGATAAATGTTCTTACTTTAAATTTGATAATAAATCATTTCACTCAAATATTTTATCTAAACACACAAAATTGGAATTCCTGAATGTATATTTAGGTATAGTACTATACCTTAAGTAGACTTTAAGTACGTAATTGAAATCACGATTGTAGTTAACTATCTGTCCTTTTAACTATAAATTAATTAATAATTATCTTAAATTTTTTTTAACATACTTAACAATTTATGTTATAAATATTATTAAATATTGGATTCTGAGCGGATCAATAAATGTATTGATTTGACAATAAACATTTTCTAAACATAATAAAAATTTATAAATATTTTGAGTTTTTTTGAGCTTATAAAAGATGTTTCTTTAATTGAACAATACTCATTATTTTTAAATCTATTAATATTTTTGAAAATGTATTTCTTATATAATTTACATTAAAAATAAAACAAAATTTTTAAAAATAATTTTTAAGTTTTTTGAATGACAACATACATCTTCATATTTATATTCTGAAACAAAATATTTTTCTTAGTATTTAAATGTATAAAAATTGAAATTCGGACAAGTAGTTTATAAGTGGAGCTGGGAACTTAATGCACTTAAAAAGTACTAAATAATAAATATGTATGCATCTATTTTTTTCTACTTACAATTTTCATAAATATAAAAATATTTTCTCATTTTATAATTTTTTATTAAATATTTATTAATAAAAACGGAAATTGTACATCAACTAGGGATTTGGTCATTTAAAACACAACATAATAATACCTAGAAAAAACCCTCAAAATAAATATACATAATAAAGTATTTTTTTATTTGAAAATTTTCAAATTGTACTATAAACATATCATTTATCATAAAATATACCTACTCTAAAAAAAATAGTAAAATTGAAAAATATTTTATTAAAACTACAAAGTTACTAAATATGCAAAAATATGCACAATAAACTTTTAGTATTTTTTTCGTAGTGTCAAGAAATTAATTTTAAGTTCACTAAGCAATAAATCTAATAGCTTAAAACAAAACACGTAAATATAATAATTTCTGTGCACTATTAATGAGTTATAAGTAATTACATTTTAGGCTAAGGAAGTGGTAAGAGATTTAACTTACAAAATATTAGTCTACTACTCTGTTGACCTAAACTTGACATACTTATAAACTCAAAAACTATTTGTTCTAATTTCGATATTTATGTTTTCAGTTACTGCAAAAAATATTCCGATTCAGAATATGAAATTAAAAATGTATGTTGTCATTCAAAAATGTAAAAAAATTATAGTATTAATAAAAAATATTAAAAAAATATATATGTTTAAAAAAAGTTTTTTTATTTGAACTGGAAACTGTATAAGAAAAATACGTTCAATACACTAATACATTTTGAAATAATGAGTGCTTAACGATAAAAAAATCACTTTTTAAAATATAGATAATTAGCATTTTCGATTTTTTTTTCTATAAATGTCAATAAACACATTTTTATTAGGTCAAATAAGCTTAAAAATATAATACAAGGTTCTTCATAAGTTGTAATCATGGTGATTTAAAACATATTAAAGGTCCGAATGAATGATTTTTTTTTAAAAAGCATTTGAAATTCAAATTTGTTAAAACCAAGAACTTACGTAAATTATTTCAAAGTTAAATTTTATAAAAATTGAAAATGTTATAAATTTTTAACTATAAAATAATTGGCTAATTTTGGTGATTTTGTTCAATTTTGTATGCTTATACAAAAAAATATTGTGTTAGTTGATGTATTGAATCTTGGAAATATTTTCAGGCTTTTTTCACGCCAAAACACCAAAAACAAAATTTTTATCATAAGTGGACACTTCTTCAAAATTAAAAAAATCAAAGCATTTTTATTTATCAAAAATGTGGCGATAGAAAAATAACAAAAAAAAAAAACTTTTTTGTAAAACCAATTAATTTATTGCTCTGATTAAGTAGAATTTAAAAATAAATAGAAATCAATTAAATGTTGAACTGAGGAAAAACATACACGACATGCTGCTACTTTAAGCGTTGTGTATGAAATGTATGATACTAATAAATACTATGTATGGTTTATTGGCTATGTACCATTGATTAAACTTAACTTATCAATAACTAATGTTATTTACTTAATTAAATTTAATATGATCTAATTGACATTTAAATACGTATAAAAGAAACATCTAAACAGAAATTGATGAATACTATTGTATGAAAATATTAAATGTATTACCTATGTATAGTATAAACTATAAATACGATTATACGGAATACAAGTAGAATTAATAATTTTATACCAATAAAAAATAAATAGGCTTAAAATTAATACAATTAAGAACAGTTCACAATATTTAGGAGTTTGAAATTAAGTTATTTATTGATTGTGTTATTACCAATGTCAAAGAAACTTGCGACTATTGTATAAAAATATAGGACACCTAAAATACATTATTCTTTAAAATAAAATTATACAAGCACGTAGAAAACAATTACTTATAAATAAATAAGTATATTCTATTTTTTATTCTTAAAGTATTGATATTCAATGTTACTTAAAATAACGAGATTCGAAATGATCACATAAATTGAGGAGCTTAAACATTAAAAACCTTTTAAAGAATCACTTTCAATATGAAGTACATCTACTCGTAAGTAGTAGGGACTTTACTTATTCCTTAAATTGTAAATGGTTAGTTGTCAGAAAGGTCTAAAGTAATGCTTTTAAAATGAAAAAAGTCAGTGGGAAATAGGTGAAACATAAGGTAGTATTATATATTATGTTACTTTATTTTACGAATAGATCGATATGAAATGTCATACACTCATGCGTAAAGTTAGTTTGCGTTATTGATTTACTCAAATAATTATTTCGTTTAATTCAAATTTTATTAAAATATTTGTACAGTTACAATTACTTGTAAAATAGTATAATAAGTACAAAGCTTATATACTAATTGCTAAAAAAAAAAATAATTTAAATGAGTTATTATTTGTAAGAAATTTAAAATAAAATAAAATTACATTATAACTTACTTGATTTGTGAAATATGATGATATTAATAAACTATTAGTAGCAATAAAACCACCTATAAACGTAGTTGTTCTAATTCCTATTCGATCAACAAGAACTCCAGCGATAGGTGACATTAGAAACGTTGTTCCCACAGTCAAAGAACCGACTAGTGCTAAAATCAACAATATATTATAAATAAAAAATATTTTGAATGTGTTGTAATGTGTAGTACATTTAAGTTAAGTTTATCTTATAAAACATACAAAAATAGTTAAAAGATTAAAGAGACGGCAAAATTTTATTTGACATTCGAATATTATTTAGATTTATATAAATACTTTTATTACATGAAGTATACAATCTATACCAGCAAGGAGTACAGTAGATAATTAATATCTATGAAGAATAAATTATTTATTAATTAATTATACACACATATAATAAAGCAAATAAACATTAACTGAGGTTTATGTAAGTTATATTTTAAGACATTTTTAAAATGATCAAAATTTATTTTTGAAGATTTTATCATAATCTTAAATGTTTAATATAGTTGGCAACTTTAATATTAAAATGTATAACAATGATAAGTTCTATTTTTAACGTCATAAAATTTTGATTAGATACCTATTTAGACGAATGATGGGTAAATCAATCATCCTACGTTTTCAAAATTTCAACTTTTATCTTCTCCTTAAATTTAATTTTAAATAGATAGTAAAATTTGAAGAACATTTCTTATACGGAATTTATGTTTGTTATCTAATAATATAAAAAATAATTAATCTGTATATTATAAATATTTTAATCTACACTAAGTTAATATGATATATTTAAGAGTTGAATATGGCTAAAGTTAAAAATGTAACATGGTAATTAAATGTTATCATGAAAAGAATTTTTTTTAAATATTGTTTTATAATCACATAGTTATTACACCTAAATTTGTTTTTCTTTATCTTATTAAATAATAAGATATTAGTATTAATTACGTATTAATAGTCATTAGAATAATTAAATTATTTAACAGCTAATCTGAATATCTAATCAAAAAATTATTTATTTTTTTTATCTGAAAAAATTATGACGTTAAAATATTTAAATTTAACGAGTTTGTGCATAAGATAAATGTCCAGATAATTTAATTTTTCACAAAAAATAAGCTATTTTATCAAGAAAAAATAATTACGAGTTTACCAGCACAAGAACAAAACGATCGCAAAAACTCGAGTAGAAAATATAAAATACAATAAATTTGGAGCTGTAGTTTGGGTTTTATTTTTTGTCGTAAAACAAGATACCTACTTCCGAAGTTTTCTGGTTTTTGCTACGTGCATTCTCTATATAATTTATTCAGTTTAATATAATATAAAATACAGTACTTATCAATATCAGTTAATAAAAATAATAAAATAAATATTTTGTCTTTGAATTATTAATATGATGTATTGAGAGAGGAATTTAAATAAATTATCATGTCTATTGTCTATATTAGTTACAATTTAATCTATTGGTAAACGCATATCTATAATTTTTTATGCAGTTGAATACTCATATTTTTTTAACTAAGGAAATTGAAAACGGTGATTTTACTGTTTTTGTTTAATACATGCATAACATTGAATTATAGGCGTGTTCTATTTCCAACCTAACCGATTGATATACTTAATGAAGCGATACAATTTTTTCGTTAAGTCTTCTTAAGATTAACTTACTCACATTTTTTTATTTTATGCCCTAAAATTTTAAAAATATTATATTAAAAAAAAGAGTAGTTAAAAATTGACAAATTTTAATTTTTGGAAAAGTTAACTAATCTAATATGCTGCTGCACGTGTGTTAAATAATAACAGAAAATCACCGCTTCTAATCCCCTTAAAAAAAAAAAAAATTTTCACACAAATCGTTTATGATTAAACTGTGTTGCTAGAAGATGTAGTCAGACTGCTAATAATAATGTATTATAATTTCATTGTGTTTCGTTTAAAAAGAAGAATGGTCAACTACCATTTTATTAGGGGACTTAACAATGTTTAAACTTGGAATGTAAATAGTTCATATGAGTTATGAATTAAATAAATTATACTTACATGCTTTTGACGATGCTTCACTGACACCAGCATCCTCTAGTCTTTTTAAAAGATATACATAAGTCACTGAATAGGAATTGATAAAACTAAAAACAAGACCATTGACCAGGAAACTGGCTAACACTACGATGCACGATCGTATGTTAGCTTCGGGTAATCCTTTTTCTTGGTTGTTCATTTTCCAAAATGTATATAGATGCACTTATAAATTGTAAGTATCAGCCTAAAAATAAAATATATATATATATAATTAACAAAATAAATTTTTTATAAATAATATTTAACATAAACACACTAAAAATGAAATATAAATAATGATTACATTTTAATAGTTTAACTAATTAACAAGTATAATAATTAGGGCCCGGATTTTTATGAAAATGCATATTCTTCTACATTTCACTTAAAATAATTCTGATTATGTATCTTGACGTTTCGTAATACGTAGATTCTGCTATTATTATTTTTTTTCATATTTGTACTAAAATAATTGCATATTTCTGGATAATTACATAAAATATGTATATTTTATAAATTACAAAATTTACTAAATTTTACTCGAAGTTTGATATATCAGTACATGCCGATATTTCTGATAAATACAATTCGACCGAATAAAACAAAATATTTTGTTATAAGGAATTCCGTCGAATAATAATAAGAGCGTTATCTTTTAGAAATAGGTAAATGATTTAGCCAATATAATAATATTATGATATTTCTGGAATTATAAGCAGGTAAATAAGTAACGATAGTGAAAACTGAAAACCTTGCAGAGTAAGTTGTCACTGGAAGATATTTCTTGTATCAAATACGTACCCATTGTGTCAGCAGACGTGAAAAGAAGTTTATAATTTAATAATTTAAAAGCACATTTTGTTTCATCATGTTGGTACTCTTTCAATAATTAATATACATTTTTATGCTATATACACATTTTAAATACTGATATTTAAATATTGTATTATTTTTCACTTTTTCCACTTATTATAGCGAGTTTTAAAGATCATAATTCATAGTTAAATTCCGAAATTATATAAAGTAATAATTCATATCGTGAAATATATGAAGTGCTTTACAATACTTAAAAAAAGCTATATTATTCATTAAAATTTTTTCTAAACAAATTTGATGAATATTTATTTAATTTAAATAATATATCTAGTAGTTTATAATTGTATATCATCTACTAAAAGACAATATAGTAAAAATATCATCAATTTTTAAGCTTATTTAATTTTTTAACAGATTAAATATTTATTGAATATAAAGAGGTTTATTAAAAAAAAAAAAAAAATATAGAAACTTAATTATTTTTTAAAGAAAATTGTTATAAGTAATTATCATTTATAAACGATTTCATTATTATAATAATTTGCATTACTAAGTGATTTACAATAATGTATACATTTCTTTTTGAAAATTTTTTATAGTTATCATAGATTATAATATTGTCTTTATTAAATTAACCATGTATTTTTTAAATTGATTGTTATTGGCTTATTGGCCTATTATCGTTAGTACACAAAGTTAAATACCTGAAAAATCATTCGTTTAAATTTTGATTCTTATATGCTAAAATTTTCAGAAAAAAAATTCAATAATAAAAAATTTAATTCATTAAATAATTGACAACAGAAAGAGGAATTCTTATTTGAAAAAAGTTAGTCTATTATATCATAAAACATTCTTTAAGTAGTAAAAAAAATCTTAAAAAGTTGATAATATTGGCAGTACTTGTTTCGACTAAATATGAAAGTAGTTTCTTCTTTTCGCTTAAAACAATTATTGCATTGTTTTTATCCATGGTTTATTTTTAAAATTTTTAAAACTACTATCTCAATATTAGTTTTCTAATGCAATTTAGTATATCCCACAAGAAGACGACTTTTATTACACTACTAAAATGAATTGTGTTTTTATACATTAAAATAATTATTGTATAATTTAAGTACAATCTGATATAAATTATATTAAATTGAATAATATCCATTAAAAACAGTTTCTTAAAAATAGGAAAGTATGTATCTATATTAAAAAATGAAGATACAATCTAACAATAGAGGAAAATTAAGTCAATACGAGTTTATTAAATCTTGGTATTCAAATAAACAAATATAAAATCACTTGATCAATTACTAATTAATTATCATATAAAGCACAATAATATAAATATTTGTTTAACGGCGATGTTATTAATTACAATACTTCACAATACTTTACAAATATTTACCTATATTATACATAACTATTTTAATGTACATAAATACGATACATAATTGTAGTACTTCCTTATAGTACTTTTTAGGTTAAGCAAATGACCTTATTAAACTAATTTTGAAGCAGTTCTTTCAAATGTTGAACGTAAAAACCATGGGCGAAAAGAATACAATCATTTTTAGGAGAGGAAAATACTATATCATATTTAGTCGAAAATGAATTACATTTAGCATAGGTCTTAAGAGGACGTCGTACCCGCATATGTTGTCTCCGTCTTACAAATGCGTAACATGGCAAATAGTACTCTCAGAAGATCACGTTTAGCTCCTTCAGCTTGAAAATTAGAATGAATTGACCTCTTTTGAAATTTAAAAGTGAGATTATTATCTAGGGTATCTCAAAGGCTTTTTATTATATTTTAATTTTAAAGCGAGTTATGTGTGTTTTAAGACGTGCAAGCAATTTACAATTTTAAAATACTCATAACTCGCTTTAAAATTAAAATATAATAAAAAGCCTATGAGATGCCCTAGATAATAATCTCACTTTTAAATTTCAAAAGAGGTCAATTCATTCTAATTTTCAAGCTGAAGGAGCTAAACGTGATCTTCTGAGAGTACTATTTGCCATGTTACGCATTTGTAAGACGGAGACAACATATGCGGGTACGACGTCCTCTTAAGCATTATCTTAGCTGAATCGAGTAAAATCTATATTTTGAACGTTATTTATTGATATAAATACATTTATAATATGTATAATATATATTTAGCTAAAAAAAAATATTTATCAAGACGATTCAGTTCCAATTTTTTCACAACAGAGTTATGTTAACTTTTATCAAATAATTACGTATGATAGAAAATGTCTATAGTTAATAAGTACAATTTATATAATTTAATAGATACTACATAGGCATCCTATAAATAAAAAGTTATTTAAATTAAAATTTAACTTTTTATCGTAATTTAAACAAATTTGGCACGTCATTCGTTTATAGATATAAATAATTGCATATTTAACATACTACAAGAATCTATTATTTAATAACGCAATACCTAATTGTTGCGTTAATAATTTAATTTGAAATATAACATCACGATTTGTTTATTCTATTTATGTACTATATAAATTAATAAGAAGAAGTTTAATAATGACATTTAGTTATACTATTATTCGTATAGTATATAGGATTATTATGTATTATGTATACATTAATTAATTAAATTTACATTATTCAAATAGTTTACATAGTATATAATGTAATAAAAATTAGGAAAACTATGTATTAAAAACACAAATTTTTATCCAATAGTTGAAGTGTTGTAAAATTGTAATTTATAAAGTTACCTATATCCTAAATTATGTTATGTAGTGTATATTGTATGGTAATATTAGATATGTTATTTTTGATTCGATATATTATATCCAACGTCAGGTAATAAAAAAATACAAAAATTTATAAAATTTTGCATTCCTAAATATAAGTTTGTAAAATAAATTATATTTTTTTTTTTTTTTTTTTTTTATTAAGAAAATAAAATTATATTTAGGAAAACTATGAGCTAATAATTATTATTGATACCGATTAGTTAACATTTTCATACATAGCGGCATAACGATACCACTAAATTAAAATATTTGTAAAAAATCGAATAAAAATTCATACGTTAAATTAACTTTAGCGCTAATCAAAACTGGCTAAAATCAATATCAGTTGGATATACGTAACTGTATTTAAAAAGTAAAAACAGTGTATTACATTTACGTATTACTGAATTATACAATTATTTGGAACAGTCGAAAATAAAATAAATTTTCCTAAGGTATTCTATCATATCATTATTTACGAATTAAATAATTTTGTAACATAATACTATTTTTATATTCAATTAATAAGTATCTTATTTGTTTTAATAAAAATAACATTAATACGTTTTTCAAGATTTTAATTTTTAATTTCTTTTAAGAATACCAATCATATGATAAAAAAAAATATACAAATGCTAAATAATTTTATAATTCCGTTAATATTTGAACAGGTGGTTAGGTTGGTAAATATGTTGAACAGGTGGTAAAATGTAAGAATTTGGGTGGAAAAAGGTCAGATGATGAAATGCGAGTACAACCAACAGTTTACCTACAACCTATGTTTTTTTGTATTCATATTTGTATTCTATAACATTATTTTTCATAATATACTATTTACGAAAATGTATATATAATCAAAGATGCTACAATATAATAAAACTTATAATTTCGTTTGTGTACATTAATATTATAAATATTATTATTACCTAAGTACATATTTATATGCATATACTCATATTAGTATATACATTTTTAATTTAAAAATATTTAATAGATTAAAACATTTTAATTTAATGAATATAACACAATACGGGTATAATAGTGACAATCGAGAACACTATAAAAAAAATAAATAGTTTAATATAATGTTGGTAGCTGGGTAATAAGTAAAAATGAACAATAGATCAATATAATAACATATTAAGATTTGTGCAGTAATCATTTAAACAAAATAAATGCCACCCAAGAACATTCGTGATCAACCATCATGATTATAGACTGTACATTAAAAAATAACAATGATACTATATCATATTATAGACTAGCCAAAAAATAATGTATTATAATTTAATTGAAATTGAAATATTGTTTTAAAATAAAGCAAAGAATACCTAATATGAATAATACAGATCAATATGAAATAAATAATGAACTAACATAAAGATTTGAAAAATATAAAAAGTCTTTATTTCAGTTATATATTAAAAGGCATGTATAAAAAGAGAATACTAAAGAATGATGTCCAGAAAAATGATGATGATAAAAACGGTATTATTAAAAAAAAAATTATATTATATTATTTCATGAAACTATTTTACCTTATACGGTGGTATGTAATAAACAAAAATTTTTTTTAATCATTTCAAATTATTTTTTAATTAGAACATAATTAATATGTAGCAATTGAATATTGATCGTTATACTTGCTTTGTCAATTTGTGACACAATCAATCAAGTTTCATTAAGATGACGTCAGTGTAACATTTGTGAGCTATGTGTATTTTATATAATACAATAGAAAAAACTACTTCATATTAATATATTTCTCATTTTGAATTATACACGAATAGTGATTAGAACAACAAATTTATATAATACAATATCCTAAGGATAATATAATTTAGTAAAAAATGTAGGCTGTAGCTAATCAAACACTTATTTTAATTATATAGTTTATTATTATTTATTAAGACACGGTAAACAAAATAATAATAAACAGTTAACACAAAATAATATGTTTATAAAAAAAAATACAAATAAAAAACAATCCCGTGCGTATATTATTATAAAATAAAGTATATATTTTAAGAGTTACTAAATGAAAAAAATAATAAATGATAATTCAAAATGCAAACACAACTTCTAATAAAATAACGAAAACATAACATCGACAAGGATAATACAGATAATGTGACATTGAAATTCACGATATAATTAATTTTTAATCAGTATAATATGTAAGCTAGTGTTGATGAACTCTAGCATCTATTTTTATGTACTTAATCAAGTTCACTGCCATTATTTAATTTTGTTTAGTTTAATAACATATAATATTCGTAAATCATTTAAACATATCAATATATTTTATGGTAGTTAAAAATGTCCGTTATAATTTATATTTAAAGCATTAATATCTTATCAAACATATTTCAAAGTTTAAATAAATAATTGTTTGCATAGAATGTCTAGAGTACATATGTTTCTATGGATCAAATATAAAAAAAGACATCAGTTTACCAAAGTTTTAAAATGGCATATTTTTATGGCTTGGGAATGGATTGATAAATTTTACAAAACATGTAAAATAGGCAATAAAAAGTTGTTATTAGAACTGCCAAACATTTGTACAAGGCTAGATTCAAAAAAAGAAATTAGTAAAACGATTTTTTCATAGTGTAAGAAAAAAGGAAGGAACTATAGGTTTAAGACTGGCATCATCATAATGTTCATAAAAACTAAGAAGCTGGTTAATTAAGAAAGTTCAATTCAACAAGTTGAATAAATATGAATAGTATAAAGTATTAATTATTGATAACATTTATTAAAATAATTTCCACAAATTTAGGTAAATTGAAAAAGTGGTATTTATCAAACTAAATATAAATTATAGTCTATAAGAAATATTTTTAAATATACCTAATAAATAATAATAAATAAATCTTTTTCATTTGTGACATAGTTTTAAATGTATAATTATAAACAATAATGCATTAACAATTTATATCAATGACAAGAATCAAAAAGATTAATGTCGAAAAATGCTCAAATAACACGTACAAAGCAACAAACAAATAATAGTTTAAATTATGTTATAATAATGTTCTCGTTATTTTTCGCAGAGGAAAATATTGATTATTTACGAAAATAATACTATTGGTAGGTATTACGGAGCGGTAGCATATAATATACATATAATTACAAAAAAAAAAGGTTAATTTTATGCAATTCTATGTGATATAATCATGTTTTATAAATTTAAACACATTTTTTCAAATCTAATAGTTTTTAATATATGCAAAAGACGTCAAATAAAAAAAAAATCAAAACTTAAAAATTAAAATGTTTCTTCTAAAATCAATGACTAAAATTTAAAAACTATTTAATATTTATTTAAAGAATATAATACAAATTTTCTGATAAGTACTGGAAGTAAAATTTTCTTACTATATGGTATAATGACGAACAAATAAATTTCAAATTTTTTTTTTAATTTTATTATAAATACACAATCTGTACCTGCGGCACAATAAGAGTATGAGCTAATTTACAACAATAGAAAAAAAAAACAATTTGATTGAAGAAGCCACCCATTAATGGCACTTTCGAATTTCAAATTAAATGATTAAAAGAAGAAAGTTTAAATATTTATAAATAGTTCAAAAAGAGCTGAAATATTTTGATATAATTAATATGTCATAAAAAATTAATATAAATAAATAGTGGAAATTCCATGTATCTACGATTATAAAATTTAGATGGTGTTTTATAATTTATGAAATTATATAAAAAAAAATCTTATTTAAATCTGTGGAAGACGTTTGATGTATTATTAACATAATTTAAAAGACTAATTCATTTGAGTATTGAACAATAATTAAAATAGTAGACTGTTATTTTATAGGCGTTTGATAAATAAACTGATTCTTTTAAGTTATAAGAGTATAAAAAAAAGTTTGAAATTTTAATCGGTGTTAAAATTTTTGAAAATCAAGAATTTATTTAAATTTTAAATCTGTATTTTGTTATTAGGTATATCTATATTTTATTTTTATATCAATGCTAGGATTTGAATATTTTCGTATTATAAAATATTTGTTTACGGAATTATAATAAGTATTATAGAAATATGAGTTTAAGTATATTAAATTTAAGTTATTTAAATAATTTTTTTAAATTATAATTTAAACAAATAATCAACACAATAAAAAATAAAATATAATTAATCGTAATTCAAATATTAACTATTAATCGTGCTACAACTAATTGAAAATAATATACTTAATATTATTAATTATTATTATGTAAGTACTTTGACTTTTATGTTTAAGGTCCGTAAAAATGTATACAAGTAAGATTATAGTTATGATTAAGTCCTATAAAAAGGATTTAGAATTATTGTTATTTTTACTGTCAATATTCAATAATATTGAATGAATCTCGAGTACTCACGTGTATATTTTAAATTTAGTATTTTTTCGTTAAAGATATGCTTGAATTATTATATTATACGAAAATTTCAATTAAAACAACACAAATTATTATTTTTAAATACTTACCTAAATATTATTTTGTATAGGTTCTGTTTAATACTCAAACATGTTTTTAAAACATTGAAATAATAAGACGCTACCACGTGCTATTTGAACACACGACAAAACGTAACTAAACTCGCTCAGCCGTTCCTGGTTGATGATACAGGAATCTACGTTCGTTATGGTTGTATGGTACCCAACGTATTTTTATACATGCCACAAGCCAGGCGTTCTCAAAATGTTTTTATCGACTTTAAATTTAACTACGAAATTTTAATTTGTGTTATAAGAATAAGTAATATCATTAAATATATACATTTAATAATAATTATAAGTAAAAGAATATAGTTAAGACTTGAATAACTTTTAAATACGTATAATAATTTATTATTGATACATTTTTTTTTAGAAAAAACCTTAAAAATATTTATAACATTCTTAAGAGTAAAGTAAATACTATATTTGAGTTAAATTAACATTATTTAATTAATTTGAATTATGAGTTAAAAATATTTTGGTAAGCACTTTTAAATATCCATTATGGGATTGTGTTGCAGTCTGTATAGGGTGATATAATGTTTAGACTGCTTAGGGTTCGTTGTACCTTGAATGCACACTGGTACATGTAAAATTACGCAATACCATATGTAAAATAATACAAACAGAATTTTTATACTTAAAAATTTGTTTTTTATTATAAAACAATTCAATGATTTTAAAAATATATTTTAAATTATATTATAGATACTTAAGTAAACGATATATTATTAATTTGATAATAATGTATTACTATAATTTGGACCACATGTCCAAAGATCTAAATGCTAGTTTAAGTCTTTACTGAATTAGAATTTAAATTAATAATAAAAATATTGTTTTATGAAAATGCGTAATATTTTTGAAATTATAAAGACAATTAATTTTTTTGATTAGTATCTAGGTATACTAATAAATAATAATACCATTTGTATTTTTTATTATTTAATAAGATATAATATAATAATATAATTCTAGAAACTAAAAACTTACATCCAAGTCTAGTTAAGATAACTTAAGTGAGTAACTCTCCTAAATGCATTTATATTTCACATTAATGAATCTTAGATACTTAACATTCAACACAAGTATTTTATTTTTTTAGTTAGTATTTCAAATGCACACATCCATATTATACCTACATTATACATATAGAGTCAAAGTCAAAGAGTCAAGTGGTCCAACCAGTTATTGAGAAAAATGATAGGATATGAATACTAGTTGTAACTCTGAACTCTGAGAAATACAAACACGACCATATGTAATATTATACATGTCAACAATATGCAATATATATATGTTTATTGTCTATAACCAATATGGGTAGTATGTACATATTTATGTATATTATTTCCATAGAATATTTTAGATAATTTATATATAATGAATAATGATATACTATAAAATATGATATATTTTGTTGATTTGCATATTATAAATACTACATACAGAAATTTTATTCTATAATAAACAGCATTAATATAGGAATAGTGCATTATAAAAATCCATTTATCTTATAAGTTTTTAATTTACAAATGTTTATATAGTTAACTTATGATTAAAAACATAAAATTTACTCAAACTTAATGGTTCTAGGATTTGTTATTTATGAAAATTATATAAATTTAATGGTAGGTCATAAGTACTCATGTTAGTAATCTAATAATTATGTAATTTGTAGAACATTAAAAAAAAGTCTTAAAAAGTATGAAATTAATTGTACAGTTTATACAGTTTTATTTTATAGTCCCAATTTATTTATGACATGGACATTTTACTTGAAATGCATTTTCTTAGTTAGTTAAGTAAAGTTACTCAATTTTTAGATTTAAAATACCACCCAAAATGTAGGTCTAAGTATTGACTTTACCATCTTATAAGTATTAAACTATTTTACAACAGTGTCCATTTTTCATACAAGTCAGTAGTTTATCGCAATTAATTGTTAATCAATTATATTAATTAGTATCAAAATTGGTCTTTTCAAAGGTGTTAACTGAGTAATTAATAAATATAAATATTTATTGATGACTACAACCACTCTACTTGTCATTTAAACTAAGCTTTGCTAAACATGAATTTATGATTACAAATTATAATCTATTAATACAAATAATATTTTATAATATATGTATAATACATTTATATCAAAAAGTTTCAAAAATAAAATATTTTGAATTACCTATAAATTATAATAAACAAAAAAAATTAATATTTTATTAGACACAATGTCTGATGTATGTAAAATTAGTGATATTATATGCTAAAAGAAAAATATAGACTTCTTTAATCTTTATAATAATTAATAAGTTAAGTTTAATAAACTTATTTAGTGGGACCAAAGCCTAGGTTAAATTTTTTTCATAAGCTTTATATTATAAATTAACAAATATTAAAAATTAAAGTTGACCTATGGTTTGAATATATTATTTTCATGTATATTCTGAATGATCCACTTGAGCATTTTTATCAATTATCCTTATTTTATTCTTTTTTAAAAATATTTTATTATTATTACTGAAAGAATAAAGGCTATATTTTCAAGTATAAATTTGTTTTCTAATGTCACTCTTTTTTAATGTATATTATTAAGATGAATTTTTTGAAAATTCTAATAAAATAACATTTTTTTTTTATTATTATAAAAACTATGTAATTACTAATTAATATATACCTATTAACATTTTATAATTTGTGAAAATGTTCAAGTTATGTTAATAAGTGTTAGATTAAATATTATATTAATTTTATATTTTAATAAAACTATAATTTATTTGTACTCAATAAATTTAAATAACTTAGAAAATATTTGTACAAGTTTGAATTTGGATGGAAAAAGCATTTAATTAATAATTTGTAGGAATAGGGTATTTTTCTTTAAAAAAAAACAAATGTTTACATTTCCTTACAAAATATTTCTTAAATTATATAAAAATATTTATGTATTTAAAAATATGGTTCTAAAGTAAAAATTCCAAAAAATGTATTATTAGAGAAAAAAACTATAGGTGAGCAGTAAATCACTCTATAAATGATAGATTTGATTATTAATTAAAGTTTTATAACAAATTATGAATATGTTACAAGTGCTCGTATTCATAATAAGTTTAGTGTGTTGTAAGGGGTTAATTTATATTTAGTAGGACTAAGCCATTGACGAGGACTCTTTGTTAATCTGTGTTTGTTTTTCCATAAACTGATTATTTATGAATTTATATTACATTTGTTTTTACCAAAATAATAGAAAACAACTATTAAATCAATATTGGAATATTTTCATTCGTTTGGAATTATAATTATAGGTAGTAGATAATAGAAGGTTTTATTTTACAAAACTTATCTTTTTCTAAAATGTTATAATTTAATTAAGTACCTTTAAAATGTTCCTAGACATATTTATGTGTAAATCTATGTTTTGAATAATTATTATCAATAAATAATAAAAATATTAATCATTTAAAGAAGAGGTGTGATTTGATGGTTAGACAAATGGGGTACATGACCTCATTTAATTTTTAGTCCTTCTGGACTAATAGTTTGTGGTTATTTTATTGGAGTTTACTCCAAGTCTAAAAAAAAAGTTATAATTTAAATAGTACTTATAAGTTATAACGATTACCTTTACATTTTTTAAATAAATTCAATCTGATTACTATCGATTAACACTAAATTATATATTATTACAAGACAATTATATAATCTGCAAGACAAAATAATATAAATAGGTTTGATCAACAAAACATAGCACATAAAAGAAAATCTACTATAACCTTACATTGGTACCTAGTAGGTAAAAATGGATAAGAAAAATTTAATAGAAGCCCCTCCCCCCAAAAATAAACCATACACCAGGGTTAAATAATTCACTGAAATAAAAATTCAAGCTAGTGTCATACATTTATACTACTTACATAACTATTGAATAAAACTTTAACTATTTGACTGATCTGAAATATGGTCTACTTAATTTAAATTATTGGGTACTATCACTACTATCTCTTTGTATCAAAACCATTATATAATATTAAACTTGAATAATGAAAAATAAATAAAATATAAACACAAAAAACAAAAATATCATATAATTTAAATTTTGAAGCCGATATAGAGGATGAAGTGGTGAATTATTATTATATTATCTATGTTATAATTTTTAAAATGTTTTAGATGGATTTTTGGAGAACTTTTTTTATTTGAGTAACTTTTAAGTAATTCTATTGCATTATCTACTTACAGTTATTATAAGAAGAAATGTTTATAATCATCTAATCGAATGGCAATATTGGTTGAAACTTGAAGCACAAAATTAATTAAATCATGGAATAAAATTTAATGTATTATATTATATTGTATATTAATCATCGTTTTAATGAATTTCATTCAAACATTCTGTTGTTTTTAAGTTATAAAAATTTTAAATATGATAAAATTTAAATGCTACTATAGTCTATAATAACATAGAATTAAAAAATAATTAAAAAATATTTTTTTTAAATAATTAAAATAACCCGGACATTGATGTATATGAAATAAGCTCGCTATTTTAGTAGTACAAATAGATGCCTTTCAATTCTCGTGACTACTTTTCTCGTTTTTGATTTAATCTGCTCTATAACAGGTTCAAAATTTATTTCCACATCATTTTGTTGATTACATTCAGATTTATATCTATGGCTGTTTTTAGCTCTTTGTGATCTGTAGTAAAATTCTTATCCATCGTTATCACATAGGTTGAATTACACAATGGAAACTTGATTTTCGCCGATATTCAAATATATGACAACATGGTAATCTCATTAAATGCCAAAAATTGACAGTTACATGATTTTTAGTATTTTGATTAAAGGATACTTTACTTTGAAATTGTTTTAAGAAATTCAAATGCAGCGTTGCAGATTAAATATTGATTAATTTGGATTTTGTATACTAATAGTTGGTTGTTTTTGAACCATTTTAGTGCATTTTATCCCTTTCTAATCTTACATTTAATAACAACAATAATTATCCACAAATGTTTAAATTTGAAAATAGGAATTACACCTCTTTAATTTTACCATTAAAATTTTCTAATCTATTGTTTGTTAAATTCATAAAGTTTCCATTATT